CACATGGGAGATTCAGATGAAGCTCCTGTCTCTGGCTTTGACCTGGCCAAGCCCCAGCTGCTGCAGCCATCTGGAGAGTGAAACAGCAGATGGAAGATCACTTTCTTTCAAAATACATAAATCTTCATCCTAGGGCAAGGAGTCAGCAGATAGCCACATGCAAGCTATATTTTACCTATTATTATAAATACAATTTTATTGGAAAGCAACCATATCCATTCATTTACAGACTGCTGACAGTAGAGGTGAGAGTAGCTGCAACAGAAACTGGATGGCCCACGAAGAATAAAACATTTATTATCTGGCTCTTTACAGAAAAAGTTGTAATCCATTACCCTAAAGTCTTTAGCTATATTTACACTTCACTCAACTGAAATCATCTGCCAAAATTTTTCTATTAAAAAATAAAATATATAGGTGGACCATCTAACTTAGCAGATAAGTCACCAGTTGGGATGTTCTTGTCCTACATAGGGAGTGCCTGGCTCCAGCTCTTGAAACTAGCTTCTTGCTAATGCAGACCCCAGGAGGCAGCAGCAATGGTTCAAGGAGAGGGATTCCTACCACCCACATGAGACAGGAATTGAGTTCTCAGCTCCCAGCTTTGGACTCCCAGGCTGTGTGGGCTATTGGAGAACGAATCAGCAAATGGATACTCTCCCTGTCTCATGCTGTCAAATGAATACATTAAAATTTCAAAAAGGAAATATGAATAATTATGCAAAATCTACTTCTCATCTACAGTATTTACATTTATAAACATGTGCACTAATTTTTACCACAATTATTCTAAAATTTAGTGAGTCATATATAAAATGACTTACTTGCCACTGCTTTCTTTAATGTTTTAAATTTTAAATGGTAAATTGGTTTTCTTCCCCCAAAACATCCATTATTTGCAGTTGGTAAACTTGCAGATATGATATGTACGTTTTTCGATAAAAAGGTTAATATGTTAGAATAAAAATTAACTATTCAGAAACCTGGTTTGGTTCAAGAACAAATTTTAGTTAAACCTTAGGTGAAACTACAGTTGTTTAGTCAATTCACTCACAATGATCTAATAATGAAAGAATATTAGTGAACTCTAATTTTAAAAGAAGGAAATTAGACACTGGACAGAAGACTGATCTAGAAGACCTGCATACAAATTTATATTAAAAATCAAGAATTACAAATATATGAAATGATATTTGCATAGTATGAAGGATTCAGCAAGACATGATTACCTCCAGTTAGCTTCCTCAATCCTTCAAAGTTAGCACTGTATATTTTCCATAATCTAGCACCTCATACCATATTTATTTACCTGTATATATACAATCCTTCTACATTATCAGTTCATCAAGAGCAGCAATCACATCTCTTCAATATCATTGCATGCCTAATAACTAACATGATAACCATACAGTAGGCACTCAATATTTACAAAAATTAAAAAAATTACATAGTTCAGAACAATCTATAAATTCAACAGTATTGCTTATAATTTACCAAAGTTTATGTAAGTTTGACCATAACACTCGTTTTACATTTTTTATTACAGTTTTAGTATTTCTCATCTGTAAGTTCAAGGGTGGGAGAGTAAATGTGTATCTTCATGTATTCGGTTTATTTAAAGATTCCTTGTCAAAAAAAAAAAGCTTGAAAATCACTGATTTATAAGATCATCACAATGTAAAGCATCTAGGCTAGACAGACCATATAAGGTTTTTCATTTGGCATAAATATCTCTACAAGATTCTATGTAAAAATACAGGATCTACTAAGTAACCCAATTACTTGCCAGTAAACTCATATCTGATAATAAGTTATCCATTCCTGACAGTAGGTACCAAAGGTATTTTTCTTATTAAGCCATTTGGAGCCCTGGAATGATTTTTAATTCACAAGTTTTCCAAAGGACATGACATATGGGAGAACAAGTGTAACACATCCTGAAATGAACAGGAAACACAAAATCCAGTTCTCTAGTTTGTAATCTTGCTCCAGGGTTAGGTTGAGAAAGGAATTGAAGAAAATTTCCCCAAATTCTTAATCACGGAGCAGAGAGAAGGAATACATACAGTTGTCAGAATATAAAGCATCTTTGAAAAAAGCAAGTTTCTGATAAGTAACTTGGGTTTCTCTAAAGATGAAAATGAATCATCCCTGATAATTAATATTCACAGGTATCTATCTATGGTAGAACAAAATGAAGCAAGTTTTCTTTAAAGCAAGAAATAAAAGAAAAATAAACTAATTGCACTGAGGACTTCTAGAAAAATATACTTAAGAAATTCACAGCTATATATCCTGCTTTCAAGTATTCTTTTCGGACAACTTCAAACAAGAACCTAGTTGCTGAACTGTGTGACAATAAATCGGGTCAAAAGTAGTTGCTTTCCATTCAAGTAATGGTGGTGTTAATAACAAAATCATTATGTTTTGAATATATAATAGCATATATATTTAGAAAAGAAAAAATAAAAATAATAACCTGGATATTAGTAAACACAATCTATGTATATACTGGGAAACTGTCAGGGCCAGTATTTTAAACCTTACAGAAAATTCTTCACTTGTTTATGTGATAAACTAAAATCACACTGGCAGCCAGTGTTGTGCTATAGCTGGTGTAGTAGGTAAAGCCGCTGCCTGCAATACCAGCATCCCAGAATGGAACTGGTTTGAGTCTTGGCTGCTCCACTTCCAATCCAGCTCCTTGCTAATGTGCTTAGGAATGCCAAGCCACCCAAGTGACGGACCCAGAAGAAGCTCATGGCTCCTGGCTTCAGCCTGGCCAGGTCCCAGCCATTGCGGCCATCTGGGGAATGAACCAGAGGATGGAAGATAACTCTCCCTCTCTCGCTGTCTTTCCCTCTCTTGCTGTAACTGATTTTAAATAAATCTTTAAAAAAATAAAAAAAAGTAAAATAAAATCACACTGACCTGCAGTAGCACAGACGGGATTATACCATGGTCTTTCAATTCCTACTCTACGACCCATAACATAATACTATCTGGAACCTAGAGTATGAATCTCCAGATCTAGAAACACAACATAAAAGTAAATTCCCTTCTAAACATATTATGTTACTGTATCTGCTAACAGAGAACATTAAAAAGAGCAGGGACTTTGGGAATAGACTCCTTTTTGTATTTCAATTTTGCTACCTACTTGTTTATGACCTTTAATGTTGAGATGCATCTTTCCAATCTTTTAAAAGAGGCAAAATACCAACTATACAGGGTTAACAAAGTTAAGAGTAATATGAATATGTAAAGTGCCCATATGAATTATGTACAAAGGAGGTTCTAATCCTGGTTATTGTTAGCAGGCAATAAACATTACATTATTTTTCTTTCCCTTTCAACTAAGAAGTAATTAGTATTCTAGTATCTAGCATAGCTCCATCAAAAAGGTATTGGAGGAACTCTGCACTATATTTTACAAAATGAAGTGTCAGCTGGTTCTAGAATCAAAAATAAAGCTAATGGATATCTTTAAAATGAAATAAACAACAACAACAGAAAAGTCTCTGGAGATGGAAACCTGCAGGGTTCTTTCTAATATAAAGTTCCTGAATTAGGCAGGTAAGTTACTTCTCAAGTCCTGTCTATAGTTACAGAAGACAAAACACTCAATTTCCTTCCCTTTTTCTCTCCTTTCTGTTTCTTGATTTACAAGAACAAATAAGGAAAAAAAACCCATATTTATAAAGAGAGACTAAAGATAAACAGACAATGAAGACAGTGAATAATTTCTTGGGCATTGGGTATATCTGGAAAAGGATGTTCAGTGAAGTGGCAGGAAGGAATGTAAAAGAAAGAAAATAAATCTAATTATAATTACTCTCGGATCCCGGGCAAAAGTTATGTAGAAAAGTACATATAAAGCCCATGAAGTTTAAAGTTATTTTTCAATAACACAGACCCTGATTAACTGCAAAAAAAAATCTTGTTCTGGGGAAGGACAGACAGAAGAATGACTTGCTTTCCTAGGAAAAAAATGTCTAAAATCTCTTTAATTATAATAAGAAATGAGTTATTTTTCTAGAAATCTTGGACATATTAAAAATAAAAGGAAGAAAATTAAGTTCAAGAAGTACTTGGGAGAAAAAATACTCAGAAGCTTCATTAAAAGAAAAAAAGGAAAAAAAAATAGGTCCATAAGGGTTCTTTTTTTACAGAGGAAAGAGAGAGAATAATTTCCTTTATTCCTTTATTGCTAACCTTCTTAGTATTAGGCAAGAAGGGTCTGAAAATGGAAAAATGCTGTTAAGGAAAGAAACAAAAGAGTAAAGGCTCATCAGGGTTTTCATGTCACTCTATTGGCTGGAAATATGTGCTTCTCCCTTAGGTCATGTCTCAACTAAATAGCAACTCAAAAACACCAAATGGCATAACACATATATACCTACCAACTGTCAGGGATGACTCAAATCCATCTTTAAGGAAACAGCTGAGACTCTACATCTTCATATAACTCTGAACTGCTACAAGTGTAAAGGGTACTATTTCTTACACTGGGAAGAAGGGCAGGAAAGAACAATAGGCAAATTAATGAATTATATAAGGTTCCAATTTCAAATTAGTCATGTGCTTCAAATGAAAACTTCTACTTCAATTTAGGGATTAGTACCCAACAGTAAAAGAACGTGAGTTTAAATGTTGATAATCACAATGAGGGCCCAGTTTCTTTCATATGATAATCACCTATAACTAACTAAAATTACAACACTTCAACTAACGTTCTTCACAAGAAAATAAAAGGAGAATTCGAATTCATTAGTATGCTATTGTTCTGCCCAATTACAGACAAGATATCTATAAATGCCTATCACAGTCAAGTAAGTGCAAAACTCTTTCAATGGAAAGCATAGATAACTTTTTCAAATTTCCATAATATGTGTTTTTGTGCCAATCTAAATCTATAAAATATTAATGTTAAAAATGAACATTATCAATCTGTTAGTAGGAATGGGGAAAGAGGAAAATAAAGGAACTATTGGACATACCCTATGTAATATTTCTAAAACCTTTAATGCGGTATGAAGAAAGCTGTTGAAAATTCTTCTTTCAGAAGGGGGAATGCCGATCTTGTAGAGTTTCAAAAGATGTACCACAACTTCCTTAAAAAGTTCTACTATCTTGAGGAATAGTGGAGGCTCAAGTACTGACCACCAGTTTTCTATTAAAGGATAAACATGCAATAAAATGAATTTAAAAAGTCACAATTTTCAAAACCACACTGACTTTTCTTGTAAAGTAGTGGTCCTTAACCCTCTGAAAATTCTAGGAAGATGTACATATTATTTTACATACCATTTCTAGGGTTTATAGACCTCCCCCCAACCAAGACCAAATTAAGTCTAAAACTTCTCAAAAGCAAAATTAAAGAATGAAAGTCCTATTGAATTCACATACTTGGTTTTATTGGATTACATTAAAAACTCAAAAATATATCTGATGTTAAAACAGTTATTAGAATGTGTTTCAGAAATTAAATTTTAATTTTTAAACACACTTTAAACTTGTATTGCACTAATATATAATGATCTTTCCAAGTTTTATTTTCAATTTACAATAAAGTTTAAATACTGCAAAGCACCCCCCTTAAAATCCACATAATGCTGAAAAGACAGAAGCTGAACAATGTGAATGAAGATCAACATGTCTACCCTTCCCCAATATTCCTTATTCCTATGTACAAATACCACAATCCTATGAAAGAGACAGAAGAAATACAAAATCTTTAGAAATAAGGAAAGCAAACTCTTTTGACTCCCCTGCTTCACTGTTCTGCTACCAGCTAATTCCCTCAGATTCTAGCATTGCTTCCCCTGCTCACTCTTAGCCTTAAAGTTCTTGTACTGATTTATTACATCATACATCTCAGCTCCACATATATAACGACCTTTTAGTTTTTTTTTTTTTTAAGAATGGAGTTAATTATAGCAAGCAAACTATAAAAGCCAGGAGAGAGATGAAATCTACATAATTATAAAGATGGTGATAAAGGTTTTAGGTCAAAGAACCAAAGCAGACAGACGGAACCACAAAATTAGATGAGCAGTAAAATCTCGTCTATAAGCAGAAAAATAAAATCAAACACGAGGAAACTAGCTAGTGAAGACAACAGTAAGCAAAGGGTTGACATCAGGGTTGAAGAACAATTTAAAACCCACGTTTGTTATAGTTTTAATTGTTCCTTCTCCTTTACTTCTTTAATAGGAAGATCACTCTGAAGGCAATAAGGGAGAGAAATGTGGAAAACAGTTTTTATCTTTCCTGATACTACTTCTGTGGTTACATTAAAATTTTATATCTAACTTGCTTTTCCTTCCACAACTCCAACAACTAGAAGCGGATGACTAGAGAAAAAGCAATAAAATTATAAACATGTTTATTTTTCCCTAAGACAATGTCAAATACACAAAGCTGCAAAATTTCAAACAAGAATTTATGAGTAATTTCAGTCAGAGAGAAAGGTTTCAAAAAGAAAAAAGGATTAAAAATTCTTACCAAGTACTTTCAGTGGTGCCTTTTCTAGGTTCACAAGAGCTGTACCAAAGGGAATTGCTATTGTTGTGAAATTGTTGGAATCACTCATCAGGGGACATTCTGGCAGAGTAAGATAAAACCTCAATGCTTCAACATCAGGTAAGGAACTAGTCAGTTTAGGAATAAGATTCTTTTCCAAACTAGCTGCCACCTATATTTTGACAAAAAGTAAAACCTACTTCATTTAAAATGAATGCATTTTCAAAAAGAAAAGGAAAAAAAAGAAAATTTTGTACTATAGCAAAATATGAAATGATGGGGGGAAAACATATGACAATGTATTTCAAGCACAATGAAAATCAATGCCTAATCACTGCTAAAAGTATTCCCAAAAAATACTCATGTTAGGTCTCAATTTAATTATCACTATAGCTTTACATAGACTTAACCAACATGGCAATGCTAAGTACTTCAGGGTCTACGACAAACATCTTTAACGATTTATAGATCTTTGACAGCTAAATTATAAATACTTTAAAATAAAAACTTATTTTAAATTTTTACATTTAATAAATCTTAATCCTTAGTATATTCAATAAAGTTATATAAAATACATCATTATGAAATTATCAAGTTAATTAGGTTATAAACATAAAACATGGGACAACAAAGTTCAACAGCTAAATAATGTGAACATAAAATACTTTAAAAACAAACCTGCTGAGATATCTGAGGATGATCAGGCTGTATAAGTTTGTGGAATAAAAGCCTAGCAGCATTCATATCAACCCCTGAAAATCTGACACCTGTTCTATAATGATCATCATTGCTAAAAAACAAAGAAACATAAAAGAAAACTTTAACATTATTTCACTTTTCAATATTTAATAAAATAAATTGAAAGTTTCAGCATACTAAGAAACTGCCACTTACCTAACAGCTAGAAAACTTCCATTTAGGCAACCAGAGGAAGAAAATGTTCCATCTATTTCACTTAAAAAAATATTAAAAATCACCAATGAGACATCTGCCTTTAACAAAATTAAAATGAGTATTTAATCTCATAATTAATGTTACAGTGCACCCCTCTATTAAATATGCAATCAGAATGAATCAATTATATAAATCACTGAACTAATTAACACTTGATTAAGGTATTATTGTTTGCTGCAGACTTTCTTAAATACTATATTCAATTTCTGATTCATCAAAGGAATGTGATGTTAAGATTTTTTTTATATATAAGCATGGACATTATACATGGTATTGCTATTGCTCTTAGGGTCATGATGAACAAAATAACAGAGATTAAGTTAGGAACAGGAGAAAAATGTTGCAACTGAGATGCAGTTTACACGAAATGTAGGAAGCTGCTACTAGCAGCAGCTAGCACACAATGCTAGCACACTGTTAGAAGGAATATATTCTAAAATGATGCAAAAGTAACATATAATAAATATGTAAACTAATACTTTATTATCATCAAGTATTATGTTCTGTATGTAACTGTATATGGGACACTTTTATATGACTGACAGTGTGGATAGGTTTGTTTACACCAGCACTATCACACACATATGAGTAATGTGTTGGACAATGACAACAGCTACGACTTCAGCAGGCAACAGGAATTTTTTTTAGCTTCATTAAGCTCTTACAGGACCATCTTTGTGTATGTAGTTCATTGTTGATCCAAAAACTTTGTTATGCAGCACATAAATACAATCTCTCATCCTAAATAGCAACACAAACCAAAAACAACCAGCAGACAAAATCTTCAGTACTAGACAAAGTAATCTATAAGCATAATATTCATGAAAGAATTAACATTCAAAGTCTTGTGGGGAATATAAGGTTAAGACAGTGACCATCATAAGGTTCACAGGGAACAAAATTCAAACTGAATCCTAAAATGGCTTTATTTCATGTCCTAATTAATCATTTAACTTATCTTTACATCTAGAAAAGAACTGCAACTGTGACTTACCCAATTTCAAGTAAGATCTCTTAAAATGTTATTATGGAATTATACATTTATATTTATATACTTAAATAATGGACTGAATGATATTCCATCAAACAAATATTTAAATGTAAACTCTGTAAAGGTTGCTCTACCGCAGGTTTGAGAGGCAGTGTTTGTGTGGAAGGAATGTTTCTCTTACTTGGCTATCTCCACAGGAAACCTTCCAGAGGGATAGCTCAGCCATTTTTGAATTAGAGCTTCATTCACTGTCCATATCTGTTTTGAAGGATCAGGACATCTAAAGTCATCTGGTGGCCCACAGTTCTAAATTATAAAATAAGGAAGTTAGAGGAAAAATATTATCTATAATTCAAAACCAAAACACTCTCCATTTGTGTTTGAAAAAAAAATAAACCTCCACTAAATATGGGAAATAAAAACTTATCAAATAGATCAGAAAAATATTCTGTACAGATGAGGTATAAAAGTCAGGCCTATCACTATATAACATATAAAGAACATTAATACAGATTTTTAAAATTCCTCAAAATTGTTTAAGTATTTACATAACTGTATTATTACCTGAGGACTACAGTAATGTGAAAAGCTTTGATCTCCACCTGAGAAAATTCTTTTTACACAGAAATATTCTTCAGAATCTGTAAAAAACAAAATATAAACATTAGAATCCAAGACTTGTATCACATTGCTCAGATCAGCAAATGTGCTACTGATTTTTTTTTTTTTTAAGATTTATTATTTGAAAGGCAGAGTTACGGAGAAAGGGGGAGAAACGGAGAGAGTGCTCTGCTACCTGCTGGTTTACTTTCCAAATGGCTGCAATGGTCAGGGCTAGGCTGGGCCAGACCAAAGTCAGGAGCCTAGAACTCCTTCCAGATCTCCACATAGGTGGCAGGGGCCCAAGTACTTTGCCTGTCTTCCCAGATACATTAGCAGGGAGCTGGGTTGGGAGCATAGTAGCCAAGACTCACCTTGTGTTATCTGTGATCATGGCTCCTTCACAATTGTAAATCAAAAAGACTACAAATTGATTATTTCCTACTAACAAGCAAAATGCTTTATTTATTTAAAAAAAAAAACCCTCAGTAACTGTTTGTCAATATGACTACATAACATATCTAGCTTAGAGCTCAGAACATTAATAAAATCAAGTTTTCGACAGGTCCCAAGAATGCTTTAGAGCCAAAATAACATAAAAACAGATGGGGCCGGCGCTGTGGTGCAGTGAGTTAATGCCCTGGCCTGAAGTGCCAGCATCCCATATGGGCACTGGTTCGAGACCTGGCTGCTCCACTTCCAATCCAGCTCTCTGCTGTGACCTGTGAAAGCAGTGGAAGATGGCCCAAGTCCTTGTGCCCCTGCACCTGCATGGGAGACCCAGAGGAAGCTCCTGGCTTCGGATCAGCGCAGTTCCAGCCATTGCAGTCAACTGGGGAGTGAACCAGCGGATGGAAGACCTCTCCTTCCCTCCCTCCCTCTCTGTCCGCCTCTCCTCTATCTGTGTAACTCTTTCAAATGAATAAATAAATCTTTTTTTAAAAAAGAACAGATTAAAGGATAAATCTATGTTAAATAAACCAGCAATTTATTTAAAATCTTTTCTCTACCATCATTTAGAAAAGTCTACATGAAACTGTTCATTTCCTCAAAATGGATGTTATTTATTTATTCCTAAAATGTGATTCTGCATTTTATAAGTAACTTCTAGAAAATGGATGACTAATCTATAATACATGAATGGGTTTCCAGGAGCTGTGAATCAGACACCAGAAGTTAGCTTTCCTTTCCTTTTGATTGTGACTCCAAAAGTTTGAAAAATGTAATCACTTGTTCTGCACAAACTTCCTGCAGACTGGACTTTGCTGAATGTACCTCTGTGGTTTCTCTTAGCATTCTGCTTGGTCTCATGTATGTTTCATAAACTGGTAGGTAGATCTAGACAGGCACCAATCACAGGTTATTTAAGAACTGCTACACTGGGATATGGGGTCAAGGGGTAGGTGTTGTTCTTCCATCTTGAAACATATGGCTTGCTGAGTTTCTTTGTGGATGCTAGAAAGCACTGATATTAAACATCTAGAAAATTAATGAACTATAATTTGAAAATGATGATATGCGAGCACTGCTTCTTTACCTTAGAGGTGGACATTAGCTCCTCCTTTACTACTATATACTTATCTTAAAACAGGAAATTGAGGATTAAGCCTTATCTTTTGCATTTATTTACTATCCTCTTGCTTTTTAAATCTGCATTTCTTTGATACTGAAGAGGGTAGTAATTTTTGCATATTTCTTAGCATCATCAATTTCCTCTTGGGGAAATTTCCATTTATCTCCTTTATTTATCAGGTAACTTTTTTTTTTTAAAAGATTTATTGATTTTACTTGAAAGTTACACAGAGAGAGGAGAGGCAGAGAGAGAGAGAGAGAGAGAGAGAGAGCGCGAGCTCTTCCATCAGATGGTTCACTCCCTAATTGGCTGCAACAGCTGGAACTGCGCTGATCTGAAACCAGGAGCCAGGAGCTTCTTCTGGGTCTCCTATGTGGGTGCAGCGGCCAAGGACTTGGGCCATCTTCTTTTTTTCTTTTTTCTTTTTTTTTTTTTAATGTTTTGCCAGGCAGAGTTAGACAGTGAGAGAGAGAGACAGAGAGTTATAGACAGTGAGAGAGAGACAGAGAGAAAGGTCTTCCTTCCGTTGGTTGACCCTAATGGCTGCCACAGCTGGCGCTGCGCCGATCCGAAGCCAGAAGCTGGGTACTTCCTCCCGGTCTCCCATGCGGGTGCAGAGACCCAAGCACTTGGGCCATCCTTCACTGCCTTTCTGGGCCACAGCAGAGAGCTGGACTGGAAGAGGAGCAACCAGGACTAGTACCCAGCGCCCCAGTCAGGACTAGAACCCGGGGTGCCGATGCCACAGGTGGAGGATTGGCCAAGTGAGCCACGGAGCCAGCCAGGGCCATCTTCTACTGCTATCCCAGGCCATAGCAGAGAGCTGGATAGGAAGTGGAGCAGCCGAGTTTCGAATCGGCGTCCATATGGGATGCTAGCACTTCAGGCCAGGGCATTAACCCACTGTGCCACGGCACTGGCCCCTTATCAGGTAGCTTAATGTTTGTCTTATTTATCTATTAGATGTCACTGTTTGCTCATCCATATGTATATGCACATTGGACATTAAGTTGTAATTATCAAAAATATTTTCTCAAATAATTATTGCTTAATTTTGTCTCAAAAACATTTTTAATCCAATTTTATCACGACTCATTGTATTGAGGATGGAAAGGTTTTCCCAATCCTGAAATAAAAGAATCAGTTTCTTCGTTTGTTTGTTTTAAAAATTTCTTCATTTACTCGAGAAGCATAGTTAGAGAGAGAGGGAAAGACAGAAAAGATCTTCCATTTGCTGGTTAACTCCCCATATGGCCGCAATGGATGGAGCTGAGTCAATCCAGAGCCAGCAGCTTCTTCTAGGTCTCCCAAATGGCTGCTGGGGTCCACAGACTTTGGCCATCTTGTACTGCTTTCCCAGGCAGAGCGCTGGATCAGAAGTGGAGCAGCTAGGACTCGAAACAGTGCCATATGGGATACCAAAGTCACAGGTGGCTGCTTAAGCTACTATACCAGAGTGCCGGCCCCCAAAGAATCATTTTCTTAAAATTTTTTACCATTTAATCCAAACTATAATTTAATGGACAGTAGAAGGATAGGGTCTAAACTAATCTTTTTGTCCCTCAAATTTTCACACATTGAGTAATTCTTCCGTCATCTCTACAGATTGGTAATGCTTTGTTTAATACTTTTCCCACCTATCACACATACTCTAAACAATTTTGGGACTCTCTCTCAACACCGAAAGTGTCCTAAAATTCCTTCTCAACACTAAAATTCTCTATTCAAGGTTCCCCCCTCCCAACCACCCTAGATTGTCCATTAAGATATCTACAGTACAACAAAAATTATGATTTTTAAAATAATATTTATTTTCATCTACTTAAAAGGCATCTCTGTTGGTTCTAGCTGCTGTTCATTCCCCAAATGAACCAGACTGAAGCCAGGAAGTCAATCTAGGTCTCTCACATGGGTCTCAGGGACTCATGGAACCCAGGGATTCAAAGACTTGTGTCATCATCATCTGCACTTCCCAAGGTGCATTACCAAGAAACTGGATCAGAAGCAGAGTTTAGCTGGGAGTCACTGTGCACTTACTCCTCATGTAGGATCTCTGACCTTAATGTGTTGGTCAATGTGAATTAATGCTATAACTAGTACTCAAACAATATTTTACACTTTATGTTTTGTGTGGGTGCAAATTGATGAAATCTTTACTTAATATATACTAAATTGATCTTCTGTATATAAAGATAATTGAAAATGAATCTTGATGTGAATGGAATGGGAGAGGGAGTGGGAGCGGGAGATGGGAGGGTTGCGGGTGGCAGGGAAGTTAGGGGGCGAAAAGCCACTGTAATCCATAAACTGTACTTTGGAAATTTATATTTACTAAATGAAAGTTAAAAAAAAAAAAGACTAACATAAACATAAAAATAATCAGCATTCTGGCTTTCACCAGAGACTAAAATAAATGAGAAAACAATTCCAAAGAAAAGGAAAAAGGAAATATAAAAGGGAAGTTTAGTTACAATACAGGATATCCAAAGAACTCCACTAAGAGATTATTGGAACTCATAGAAGAGTTTGGTAAAGAAGCAGGATATAAAATCAATACAGGAGTCGGCATTGTGGCGTAGTGGGTAAAGCCACTGCCTGCAGTGCCTGCATCCCATATGGGCGCCGGTTCAAGTCCCAGCTGCTCCATTTTAGATCCAGCTCCCTGCTATGGCCTGGGAAAGCAGTAGAAGATGCCCCAAGTACTTGGGCCCCTGCACTCATGTGGGAGACTGGGAAGAAGATCCTTGCTCCTTGCTTCAGATCACCACAGCTCTGGCTGTTGCAGGCAACTGGGGAGTGAACCAATGAATAGAAGACCTCTCTCTCTCTGCCCATCCTGCTCTCTCTCTCTCTCTTTTTTTTTTTTTTTAACAGGCAGAGTGGAGAGAGAGAGAGAGAGAGAAAGGTCTTCCTTTGCCGCTGGTTTACCCTCAAATGGCCGCTGCGGCCAGCGCACCGCGCTGATCCGAAGGCAGGAGCCAGGTACTTATCCTGGTCTCCCAGGGGGTGCAGGGCCCAAGCACTTGGGCCATCCTCCACTGCACTCCTTGGCCACAGCAGAGAGCTGGCCTGGAAGAGGGGCAACCGGGACAGAATCCAGTGCCCCGACCGGGACTAGAACCCGGGGTGCCAGCGCCGCAAGGCGGAGGATTAGCCTAGTGAGCCGCGGCGCCGGCCCCTGCTCTCTCTCTTTAACTCTGACCTTCAAATAAATAAAACTTAAAAAAAAAAAAAAAATAGCCTTTTACACAGACAATGCCACAGCTGAGAAAGAACTTCTAAAATCAATCCCATTCACAATAGCTACAAAAAAAAATTAAATACCTTGGAATAAACTTAACAAAGGATGTCAAATTTCTCTATCATGAGAATTACAAAACTTTAAAGAAAGGCACAGAAGAAGATACAAAAAGACGGAAAAATTCTTCCATGTTCATGGACTGGTAGAATCAGTATCATCAAAATGTCCATTCTTCAAAAAGCAATTTACAGATTAAATGCGATACCAATCAAAATAACAAAGACATTCTTCTCAGATCTGGAAAAAATGATACTGAAATTCACATGGAGGCAGAGGAGACCTCAAATAGCTAAAGCAATCTTATACGACAAAAACAAAGCTGGAGGCATCACAATACCAGATTTCAGTTTTCTTTTTCTCTTTGTTATTTTTTAATGAGAGCTCTTTGATTTATTTTATTTTATTTTATTTTTTTTTTACAGAGTGGGCAGTAAGAGAGAAAGACAGAGAGAAAGGTCTTCCTTTTTGCTGTTGATTCACTCTCCAATGGCTGCCGCGGCCAGCGCACTGCGCTGATCCGAAGGCAGGAGCCAGGTGCTTCTCCTGGTCTCCCATGGGGTGCAGGGCCCAAGCACTTGGACCATCCTCCACTGCACTTCCCGGGCCACAGCAGAGAGCTGGCCTGGAAGAGGGGCAACCGGGACAGAATCTGGCGCCCCGACCGGGACTAGAACCCGGTGTGCCAGCGCCGCAGGTGGAGGATTAGCCTATTGAGCCGCAGCCCCGGGCTTATTTCTTTTTCTTTTTTCTTTTTTTTTTTTTTAAGATTTATTTATTTGAAAGTCAGAATTACAGAGAGAAGGAGAGGCAGAGAGAGAGAAAGGTTCCATCCGATGGTTCTCTCCCCAACTGGATGCAATGGCTGAAGCTGCACCCATACAAAGCCAGGAGCCAGGAGCTTCGTCAGGTTCTCCCACAAGGGTCTGGGGCACAAGGAATTGGGCCATCTCCACTGCCTTCCCAGGCCATAGCCGAGAGCTAGATCAGAAATGGAGCAGCCCGGAGTTCAACCAGCACTCATATAGGATGCCGGTGCTTCAGGGCAAGGCATTAACCTACTGTGTCACAGAGCCGGCCCCACAATACCAGATTTCAACACATACTACAGGGCAGTTATAATCAACAGCCTGGTACTGGTACAAAAACAAATGGATAGACCAATGGAACAAAATGGAAACACCAGAAGTCAACCCAAACATATACAACCAACTTATATTTGAACAAGGAGCTAAAACCAATTCCTGCAACAAGGACAGTCTATTCAAAAACTGGTGCTGGGAAAACTGGATTGCCACATGCAGAAGCATGAAGCAGGATGCCTACCTTACACCTTACACAAAAATCCACTCAACATGGATTACAGATCCAAATCTAGGACCCGACGCCTTCAAATTATTAGAGGACATCTAAGAAACCCTGAAAGACAGTGGGGAAGGCAAAGACTTCTTGGAAAAGACCCCAGAGGCACAGGCAGCAAAAGCCAAAATTAACTACTAAGATTACAAAGTGAGAAGTTTCTGTACAACAAAGAAACAGTAAGGAAAGTGAAGAGGCAATCAACAGAACAGGAGAAATTATTTGCAAATTATGCAACTGATAAAGGATTAATAATCAGAATCTACAAAGAGATCAAGAAACTCCACAACAACAAAACAAATAACCCACTTAAGAGTTGGGCCAATGGGAGACCAGGAGAAGCACCTGGCTCCTGCCTTCGGATCAGTGTGATGCGCCGGCCGCAGCACGCCAGCCTTGGCGGCCATTGGAGGGTGAACCAACGGCAAAGGAAGACCTTTCTCACTGTCTCTCTCTCTCACTATCCACTCTGTCAAAAAAAAAAAAAAAAAAAAAAAAAGAGTTGGGCCAAGGACCTAAACAGACATTTTTCAAGAGAGGAAATTCAAATGGCCAACAGACACATGAAAAAACATTCAGGATCACTAGCCGTCAGGGAAATGCAAATTAGAACCACAATGAAGTTTCACCTCACCCCAGTTAGAATGGCCTACATATAGAAATCAACAAACAACAAATGCTGGTCAGGATGTGGGGAAAAAGGCACACTAATCCACTGTTGGTGGGAATGCAAACTGGTAAAGCCACTGTGGAAGACAGTTTGGAGATACCTCAGAAATCTGAATATAGTCCTATCATATGATCCACACATCCCACTCCACGGAATTTACCCAACAAAAATTAAATTGGCAAATAAAAGCGCTATCTGCACCTCCATGTTTACTGCAGCTCAATTCACAATAGCTAAGACATGGAATCAACCTAAATGCCCGTCAATGGAAGAATGGGTAAAGAAATTAAAGGGTATATGCTCTCTAGAATATTACACAGCAGTAAAAAAGAAAAAAATAATGAAATCTGCTCATTTCCAACAAAATGGAGGAATCTGGAAAATATCATACAGAGTGAAATAAGCCAGTCCCAAAAGGACAAATATTATATGTTCTCCCTGATCTGTGACAACTAATTCAGCACTTAAAGGAAAGCTGCAAAAGTGTAATTGACACTATGAGAAGCAATGACTAGATCAGCCCTTGTCCTGACTGTCGAGGAACAGGTTACTATTTTATTCTTTTTAGTATTTTCTTTTTCTACTTAATATCATTGGTTGAACTCTTAACAGAGAATCGTTCTTAGGTGTTTAAATCCAATTGAAAATTGATCCCTGTTAAAAATAAGAGTGGGAATAAGAGAGGCAGGAGATATACAGTTCAGCACACATTCCCAAAGACTTACCCCAAGTGTAAAGCTAAAAACTTGCCATGGGACTCCAAATCCCATTAAGTTGGCAGGTACCAATGCCATCTTACAAGTTAAAGTGATCAGCTTAACTTCATCACTGATCATAAAGAAAGGATTAAATGTTAAAGGGATCACATAAGTAAGATCAAGTGTCTGCTAATAATAATTGATAGAATTAAAAAGAACAATCCAACATGGGAAGCAGGACACATAGCAGATTCACAGAATGACAAATGCCCTAACCAGCACTCTGACCTCAGAATCAACCCTTAAGGCATTCAGATCTGGTTAGAAAGCTCATGAGAGCATTCCACGAATGAAAAGCCAAGATACTGCGGCAAAAAATGACCTACATCAAAGATCTCTGTGAATGAGATCCTAGTGGAAAGAAGGGGCCCATCAAAGAAGGAAGTACCTTTCTCTGAAGGGAGGAGAGAACTTCCACTTTGATTATGGCTCTGTCTAAATAATGTCAGAGTTTCTGGACTCAAAAGGCTTCCATAGCCTTGGCAGTTCATGACAAGAGCCTCTGGTATTCATTGACGTCAAAAATAAGAGTGTCAATGTTAAATCAACAATAGTTGTCTTTTATTACTTCATTTATTAAGAATTTCCTTAAATACATATAAGTAAATATAAATAAGTTAAACCATTTATATGCTGCTCTGCATTTTACTGTTTCCATTTAACAATGTGTTTGGGATTTCTTGCAAACATAGAAAGCATCATCACTTAAAACTAGTATTTAAACAAGAACTTTAACATGTTTAACAAAGTTTTCATATGACAGAACTTACCTATATCTGGTGGACACTGGCCATTATAAGGGAGCCAATTTCCTTTCACAGTGAAAGGACTTTTCCTGTTGCTTGTTGAACCAGTCCCTAGCTGCCCATTACCACCAAGTCCAAAAGAGTAAATTCGTCCTGATGAAGGAACAAAAGCAGAAGTGTGCTGCCTAGAGCAAAATGAGAGAAAAACCTGAATTAATGTCACCTCCCAAACAATTCACACTGAGAAAAACACAGTAAATATTAACTGATATAATTATTTCTTTTAAAAAATAAGTTCACAAAATCACTGTAGCTCTAAAATTTCTGTACAATATATTCATTAACATCCGTAGTCTTATACACTTACTTTTGATAAACATAAGAATAACTGAAATACGCCTCAGGTAGGCTGCATAACACTCCATCCATAAATCTCTAAATTTTTAAAAGCCCAGATCTATGCTAATATCCCTAATAAAAGATTCAACCCTAAAGTAGCATCTAACCATGTTGTTCAAGGAAGTCCATCTTCTACTTCCCTGTCAGGTTCTAGCCTACAGCCATAGTCTATTTGGGTACCACCCAAAAGTTTTAGGTCAAGAACTGGGTAAGTAATCCAGCTCTTCAGAAAATTGGTATATATACCAAACATTATAGAAACAATGTTTCCTTTCTTTTGGGAAAACCAATTCTTATGCATATGCACCCAGGCTTTTCTGCAAATACCGCAAGGAAAGCAGGCTGGGAATTCTGCCTAGCAGTTTAGATGCCTGCATCCCACACTGTCATTTCCAAGTTCAATACCTGGCTCCAGTTCCTGATTCTAGCTTCCTGCTAATGTAGACAGTAGTGTTGGATCAAGGACCTGGGTTCCTACTACTCACGTGAAAGACCTTGATTAAGACTCACAATGTAGACACTGGAGAAGAAAACCAGGGAAATGGGAGCTTTCTGTCAGGAAAGAAGGGAGGGAGGGAAAAAGGGAGGGAGGGAGACAAATCCAATAAACTGCAGAACCAAAGCTAAGTAAACCTACCAGTCTACTTTCAGTGAATCTATCCAATTTCCTCTGATGTTTCACTATGTTTAGGAACAGGTTAGATGTGATTATTCAGGTTAAGCCTTGTATTTCTTAGTCTCAGGTTGTATGTATTCAACCCAATTATGTCTGAAAAATTTTCATGCCGTATTTCCATAAGTAGTCTCTTCCATTTATTCTTTGTCTTGTAGGACAGAATTAGGTAAATGTTGAGCCTACACTACATAGTCTACCTTAAATTTTTCTTAAAAAAAAAAAAAAAAGGATTTATTTATTTAATTGAAAGCAAGAGTTACAAAGAGGCAGAGGCAGAGAGAGAGAGACTTCCATCTCCTAGTTCACGCCCCTCAATGGCTGTTATAGCCAGAGCTGGGCCAGTCCAAAGCCAGGAGTTTCTTAGGGTCTCCCACAAGAGTGTAGGGGCTCAAGGACTTGGGCCATACTCTACCACTCCCAGGCCATAGCTGAGAGCTGGATCTGAAATGAAGCAGCAGGGGCTTGAACCAGGGCCCATATGGGATGCTAGCACTGCAGGTGGCTGCTTTACCTGCTACACCACAGTGCCAGCCCTGATCTTAAACTCTTTTAACTCCATGCCTTAAGTAAGTAATTTCCCTGGATCTTTCAAAATATTAATTTTATTTTTAGCAGTATGTCCAACCTACTGTTTCTACCTATCTTTTTAAGATTTATTTATTGGGCCGGAGCCGCGGCTCAATAGGCTAATCCTCCGCCTGCAGCACTGGCACACCAGGTTCTAGTCCCAGTCGAGGCGCCGGATTCTGTCCCGGTTGCCCCTCTTCCAGTCCAGCTCTCTGTTGTGGCCCAGGAAGTGCAGTGGAGGATGGTCCAAGTGCTTGGCCCTGCACCCACATGGGAGACCAGGAGAAGCACCTGGCTCCTGGCTTCAATCGGCGCGGTGCGCTGGCCGCAGCGGCCATTGGAGGGTGAACCAACGGTAAAGGAAGACCTTTCTGTCTCTCTCTCTCACTGTCCACTCTGCCTGTCAAAATATATATTTATTTATTTATTTATTTGAAAGGCAGAGTTACAGAGAGGCAGAGCGCGACAGAGAGATAGAGAAATAGAGACACAGAGACACAACTTCCATCTGCTGGTTCACTCTCTAGATGGCCACAATGGCTGGAACTGTGCCGATCCAAAGCCAGGAGCCAGGAGCCTCTTCCAGGTCTCTCATGCGGTGCAGGGTCCCAAGATTTGTTCCATCTTCTACTGCTTTCCCAGGCCATAGGAGAAGGCTGGCTCTGAAATGGAGTGGCCGAACTCCAACTGGCGCCCAACTGGCGCCCATATGGGATGCAAGCACTGCAGGTAGTGGCTTTACCTGCTACATTACAGCAACAGGCCCTTACCTATCTTTTTAGTTTTAAATTTTGTTATATCCCATTTCCAGAACCTTTTAATCAATCTGCTACCCTGTTATTTTATTAGAAACACTTTATTTACACATTGCAAATTATAATATATGTATACCAAACCAAGAATAATCCATTTCTTGGATTTTATGGTTTTTCCACTTAATTTAAGCCCCAAAACTATTTTATGGCAGCCTAGTAGTTAGAGATTCTCATGGGAGTTCCAAAGCAGAAACCACACAGAAAAGTCTCCTTCTGCCAGTAGGGGAGCATTTCATGAGAGCTTTTTTCCAGGAGGAAATGGTATCTCAGTTCCCATCTCATCTCCTGCCCTAAACTTCTTTGTCATATCTAGTATAATTTTTCATAAAATGGCTGAATTATTCTTCTTCCTGTACTTGTATCCTACATGACTTTTGCAGCTGTTCCTATCTAGTAAAGGAATCTTTTTCTCCAGGTCTTAAAAACTGATCTCCAGCCTACAACTTGTTTTGGCCAACAGAATGCAGCAGAACTGAAAGTGTCTCAGTTCTTAGACTGTGCCTCACAATCAACTTTAGACTCCTTCCTTCTCTCTTTAGGAACCCTGCTCCACCATCTGAGACTAACCTAAGGTTAACTGGTGAAGGATGACATGTAATCTGGAACAGAGACAAACTATCCCAGCAGAAGTTACCCTACTCTCAGGCTGTAGTCAGATCATTTAGCTGATCATCTGAGTCCAGCTATGCTCAGCCAAAATGACTGAAACACAAAATTGTTAGGTAAATAAAGATTTTATGACACCAGATTTCAGAATGGTATCTTTCCTTTTCTTTTTTACACAATATCATCTTTTTAATGCATTACCTGGACTGGAAAATTCTTTAAGGGTGGCTCCAGAGTCAATTCAAACTAACAACTTTGGTTTTCAGATTCCTTTGCTTTTACTGTGAGGAATTACCTTTACTTTCTGGGAAACTCATCTATGCTATTTTTTTAAAAAAATATTTTTACTTATTTATTTGAAAGAGTTACAGATAGAGGGAGAGATAGAGAAAAAAGTGTTCTACCAGCTGCTTCACTCCCCAAATGGCCTCAATGGCCAGAGCTGGGCCATCTAAAGCCAGTAGCCAGGAGCTTCTTCCAGGTCTCCCACGTGGGTGTATGGGCCCAAGTACCTGGGCCATCCTCCACTGCTTTCCCAGATCATAAGCAGAGAGCTGGAGTGGAAGAGGAGCAGCCAGGACTAGAACTGGCACTCATATGGGCTACAAAGCCCACTACATAAAGGTGCTGGCCCCAACAACTATGCTATTTAAAAGCTGTTTTCATTCAAAAGGGATTTTAAGTTGACTAGTCTACCTACCACATTACTAGAAAATGATGAACCAAACAATTACCTTATCTCAGAGTCAGATAACCCAATGTCAATCAATTTTTAAACAATGACATCCTTTTAATGAAGAAAATATGTTTTTAAAAGATTTACTTATTCACTTGATAGGCAGTCTTACACAGAGAGAAAGGGAGAGACAGATCTTCCATCCACTGGTCCACTTCCCAAATGGCCACAATGACTGGGACTAGGGCTATGTCAGGGGCTTGGCCAGGCCAAAGCCAGGAATCAGGAGCTTCTACCAGCATCTCCCATATGGAGAGCAGGGGCCCAAACACTTGGCCCATCCTCCACTGCTTTTCCCAGGCCATTAGCAGGGAGGTGGACTGGAAGTGGAGTCACTGGGACTTGAACCAGCACCTATGTGAGATGCCAGTGTCACAAGCTGCAGCTTAACCTGATGGACCACAATGCTGGACCCAACAAAGGAAATTTTACATTGAACACCTGCATATAAAATAAATTGCTCTGTTTGAACAAGAGTTTAACATTCTTCATTCTGTATTCCTCAGAAAGAAGCCATTCTGACACCTCAAATTACTGCAATAGGGGCCAGCGCTGTGGCACAATGGGTTAAAGCCCTGGCTTGAAGTGTCAGCATCCCATATGGGTGCCAGTTCTTGTCCTGGCTGCTTCTCTCTTCCGATCCAGCTCTCTGCTATGGCCTGGGAAAGCAGTAGAAGATGGCCCAAGGGCTTGGGCCCCTGCACTCACACAGGAGATCCAGAAGAAGCTCCTGGCTCCTGGCTTCGGATCGGCTCAGCTCCGGCCGTTGCAGCCATCTGGGGAGTGAACCAACGGTTGGAAGACCTCTCTGTCTCTACCTCTCTCTGTAACTCTGTCTTTCAAGTAAATAATAATAAATCTTTAAAAAAAGAAAAAAAAGAAAATTACTGTAATACTATTTTGTGAAACTCCTTCACAAACTGGTGTACTAAAGCAGTGATTCTTAACCATACCTGCATAACAAAATCATCTAGTGGTGAATCTAAACAACATATACTTTTAAAACCTCTCCAAGTACAGGGCTAGCATGGGGCAACAGGTAAAGATACCACCTGTGATGCTGGTATCTGTTAACGATGTCACAGGTGCTCCAATTCTGGTCCAGCTCCCTGCTAATGGCCTGTGACAAACAGCAGAAGACTGCCCAAGTGTCTGCGCCCTTGTCATCCACATAGAGACTCAGATGAAGCTCCTGGGCTTCAGCCTGGACCAGGCCTGGACACTGGACTATCTGGGGAGTGAATCAGAAAATGGAAGACCTCCTTTTCTCTCTTTCTGTAACTCTTTCAAATAAATTCTTAAAAACAAAAAAAACTTCGAAGTGATTATAGTGTAAAGTTGAGTTCAGAGTCACTGAATGAATACAATTATCTTAAGCCATAGATT